TTATTTTATTTTATTTTATTTTATTTTATTTTATTTTTTTATTTTATTTATCTTATATGCCTCCCTCTCTCCGAAAAGGACTCAGGGCGGCTCACAGCAATAAAATAGACAAATCAATATTAGATGTTAAAAACCATTAAAACTCCCCTTAAAAACCCCTTCAGTCCAATCCGGCCTGTAAATAACCATGTCTTAAGGTCACGGCAGAAAGAGCGCAGGTCAGGGGCCACCCGGAGCTCCAGGGGGAGTTGATTCCATAAAGTAGGTGCACCCACACAGAAAGCCCATTCCCTAGGAGTCGCCAGACAACACTGCCTGGCCAACGGCACTCCAAGGAGGCCCTCTCTGTGGGAACACACCAGGCGATGGGGAGCTATCGCTGGCCGCAGATGGTCCATCAGGTACCCTGGGCCCAAGCGATGTAGGCTTTATAGGTGATAACCAGCACCTTGAATCTCACCCGGAGGGCAACCGGTAGCCAATGCAGGTCACGCAGGAGGGGTGTAACATGAGAGTGTCAGGACACTCCCATCACTACCTGTGTGGCCGCATTCTGCACCAGCTGAAGCCTCCGAGTGATCTTCACTTATGTATACTAACATACTAGAGGCATGAACTTATAGAGTCATTTTTGCTTCTTTCAAGAAACAAAGCATACTACCTGCTATCTTTCTACCAGGATCTTAAATTCTGTCTATCCATTTTTCCATTTTTGATAAATATTCTACCAAGGTTCATAAAGTGATATATTGCTGTGGGCTTTTTTTTTTTTTACCATTTATGCATAATGTATGATCTTTCATTCTGTTTTCCAAACTAAATTCAACTATCTTGATCTCTGACACATTAATTTTCAGATCCATATTCCTCAATGCACCATACAGTATTTTAGCATTCTCTGCCATTCTCATTCTGAGCTAGCAAATGACATCATCTGCACACAAAAGTACATAGAGATACTATGTATGTATTAGAATGTACTGTGTTTCCCTGAAAATAAGACCCTGTCTTATATTTTTTTGAACCCTGAAATAAGCGCTTGGCCTTATTGCCATGCCCTCAAAAGCCTGATTGGGTTTATTATCAGGGGACGTCTTATTTTGGGGGAAACAGGGTAGAATGATAGATAAGTTGGCATTCTAGAACAATGGTGGTGAACCTTTTACTCACCGAGTGCCAAACGGGTATGCGCTTCGCTTAAGTGTGGCGCCCGTGAGCTGCGCGCGCAACTGGACCATTTGTGCATGTGCACAGCTTTTGCACAGCTCCCCCCGTATGCTGCGTGTGCAATTGCACCATCTGTGCATTCACATGGCTTTCGCATGTGCAATGCACGCACGTGAACACCATCTGTGCATGCAACGCTGCACGCAGGTACTAGCATACCTATGCGCAAACACATGTACATGCACAGGCAAGCTCCAAAGACCAGCTGGTTCTCCGGAATTGCGTGCATGCGCGCTGGAGGCCCAAACACCAGCTGGGGTACGTGCGCATGTGCAGCTGCAGCTGAGTTGGGCAACAGCTCACGTGTCCAGAAAGATGGCTCTACGTGCTACTTCGGGCACGCGTGCCATAGGTTCGCTATCACGGTTCTAGAATATGATGGTCAGAAATAACTATACAACACTAGCACTGTTTAAAATAGTATATATGTTATTTTGTTTTTACCTTTGTTTCATGGCAAATGGAATGCCAGGACAATAACACTGTATTCAATATATTTATATGTAAACAATAAAAATATATTTTTTTAAAAAAAGTACATGCAGGTCCATGCCACTAACCAACACATCTATAATATTAACACTCGTCCTTATATATTTGTCACAAATGCATTAAATGACCTAGGAAACTGTGCAAATACTTGTCTTACTGTCTACTCATTGTGAAACCTTTCTCATGTATGATTTACTTTCATCATAGACAGTGCTTATCACATTCGGCAACCAACCTTCAAGTTTATACTCAGTTTAGATTTTGAAGTTAATTAAGAAGATCCTGTCTTGTGAGAAAAAAAAAACCCATGCTTACATTATGACTTGATAACAAGACTGAACTTTGGACATTGGAGGGCATCAGATGGCCCTCATGTTTCAAAGGAAACGTTTGGGTTCAACAGAGAGAAAAATATTGGATTTACAAATGGAATTGGATCATGACTTATTTTTTTTTAAAAAAAGACATATAAATAATAAATCAAAAGGATGGTGGATGGTACACACACACACACACACACATTGGATTATAAGGGATTTCCTACAGCTACTTTCTTGGAACTACTAAAGAACCTTTGATAAAGATGACAAGAATTTTGAGAGAACAGACAAAAAGACTATGAGAAACCAAATATTAGAACTTTATTTGTGTGACTTAAGGATCACTGGTAGAAAGTGGAAAAATACAGAATTGATTTGTTTGATTATGGTTAAAACAATGATTTGTTCTCTCTTATTATAATTTTATTGGAATTTGATTATGATACTTATGTTTGGTAATGTTTAAATGGCTATAATGGATTAATTTGGAAGGTCATTGTTTTTAAACTGTTAATTGGGATTGGATTTTGATTATTTGAAGAGAAGGATTATAAGGAATTTGCTTAAATGGAAATGGAGATGTAAATATTTAATTTGTTATCTCTTTTAAGTCTTCCTGGACCTTTTCTGATTAATAAGAAGAATTCAAGATTTAGAAATGGGTTTATTAAAAAAATGGGGTGAGGCATGGAATGAAGTATATGCTGTGTTTCTGCATAAGGTTTTATATTACATTTACTTGTTTAATTTGTTTAATAAAACCCCGAAAAACATTATTGAGAAAATCTGCATCAAATAAAATCTACCCAACCTACTGTATCTTCTAGAGGGATCTACTTCATGTTTCTAAGCTACATGAGGTTATCCCAAAGGTGCTTTTTCAAAACGCAACTGGACCTCAATCAGAATAGAGCTGGAAGAAATCTTGGAGGTCTTCTAGTTCAAACCTCTGCTCAACCCTGTGCAGTCTTTTCTTAAAAACCTCAGTAATGAAGCACCCACAACTTCTGAAGGCAAAGCTGTTCCACTGGTTAACTGTCCTCATTGTTAGGAAGTTCCTCCTTAATTCCAGGTTGCTTCTGTCTTTGATTAGTTCCCATCCATTGTTTCTTGTCTGCCTTCTGGTGCTTTCAAAAATAAGTTGACCTCTTCTTCTTTGTAGCAGCCCCTCAAATACTGTAATACTGCTATCATGTCCTTCTTTTCCCTAGACTGGCCATATCCAATTCTTGCAGCCATTCTTCCTATGTTTTTGTCTCCAGGCCCTTAATCATTTTAGTTGCTCTCATTTGCACTTTTTCCAAAGTCTCAGCATCTTTTTTGTATGAGGTGACCAAAGCTAGATGCAGTATTCCATTTGTGGTCTTAATAAACATTTATAAAGCAGCACTAATAGTTCACATGATTTTGATTCTATGCCTCTGTTTATACAACCAAGGATTTTATTAGCCAAGAAGCTTCTTGGATAAGAAGCAAAGTGTCTTTGAGGAGAAAAAGTTGTCTTTGGAAAAAGCACCTTTGGGACAACCATGATATGGATCTCATGATATGGATCTCATGCCTACAGTATGAGGCATGATACTGCCTCATACTGTAGGCAGTATGGGGAAGAAGCTATGGGGAAGAAGCTCAGAGGCAACTTTTCTTTGTTGTGACCCTGAAGCTATTGAATAACTTGCTCCCTAATCTCAGATTAGTCACTTCTTTGCTAACTTTCAGAAAGGCAGTAAAATATTCAGTTCTGCTGGTCCTCTGGGAATTAGCAATATTAGCTGCCTATTTACTGTATTATATGTATTATTTCGGGGCTTTTCACAAATAATATGGATTTTTATGTTGAATTGTCTTTGTTGCATTGCTATTGTTGAAAACTGCCCAGAGACTTCAGATAAGGCAATATATAAATAAATATTATATTATATTGTTATCATAGCATACAACATTCTCTCTCTCTCTCTCTCTCTCTCTCTCTCTCTCTCTCTCTCTCTCTGTGTGTGTGTGTGTGTGTGTGTGTACACTTCTGCAGACACCTAGATGCAAAAAAAAATATGCTGAATTTCTTCATTGTAAATTATCTAGATGCAGTCTTTAGTGCAGTAAGAGGTACCAAAAAGCCATACATAATGTTCATGCCTCCGTCATAAGATTATACATTGTTAGTATGGGATCATATGGACCATGCACAAATCATATTACACAGGAGATAACGTGTATGTGTTTGTAGTACATCTCTATGTGAGTTCAAGACCAATGCCAGCCTTGAACCACTTCACATCATATACCAGGATTTGGATTGGAACACTGCATTTGAGCCGTGGTGGTGCAGTGGTTAGAATGTGGTGCTGCAGGTTAACTCTGCAACTACCAGCAGTTGGATCCTGCCAGCAGTTCAATCCTGACTGGCTCGAGGTTGACTTACCCTTCCATGCTTCCAAGGTTGATAGAATGAGGACCCAAATTGTGATTTTGTGTAAAGCGGTATACAAATATAAGTGCTATTGTTATTGCTATTTGCAATAACAAATATCATGCAGATTTTCACCATCCCTATAAATGCCCTGTAGCCAGGCATTTTCTGAAATGTCAACTACCTGCAAATGGGGAAGTGGACCACCCCATATTTCATGGGCATGCAGCATTTAAAATAAAAAAGTAATTTTCTACAATTTCAGATACACATCCGTTGAATCAAAGCTAAATCAACTCCATTCTTGATTTATTTATTTTTTAAATAAAATTACAGAGGTCCTGATCTGGTTTCAAAGCAGTGCAAATTGCCTGTATAAATTTTATTTTACCAATGTTTACAGGCATTCAGAGCATTAAACCTTGAGAATGATTGCTTCTGAGAATCTCATAGTACAGTTAAGGTCAGGCTAAAAATCAGTGTAAAGTCATAAAGTACAGTATATGCAGCAAACTATGCTTTCAATCATGGATTTAGATCATAAATGTACTTACTTCAAAATTACACATCCTGTGCCCAAAGAAGGAGCTGTCCAAAACACCTGAATGCGAGTCCTCCTTCTTGGTGTACTCTCTGTCACAGCCACAGGACAATTACTCATAAACTGTGTTTCTTCTTCATCTATAATCTACACACGAAGAAGCAAAAGTTTATTAGAAACATCAAAACCACCTATTTAGAAAGTGAATAAAGGTCCTTGACATTATGCTATATATATAATGTTCTGTATGTTATCAAATAGCTGATAATTTTTCTTAAGGTAATGTGCTTCTTTGGTTGAATTGCTAATAGTAGAACTCATCAGATCTGACAAAGGTCTATTAAGATCTCTTGCAAGGAATTGAATATTTGAGTTTCTGGACAGTGTGAAAGTAACTTTGTTGTAAGCAAGGTGTATTCTTCAGCCTATTATATAGGGTCTAGTTTTGGGCTACTCTGTGGTTCTTTCAAAAGCAAATAACACAATGGATTTTATTTATTTTCTATCTGGATGTATATTTTCACATATTTCAGAAAGACATTAAGGAGAGAAATAAAAGAAAAAGAAAACCACAATAAGGAAAAGGGGAAATGGAGACAAAACCCTCAAAAGAAAACTTTTTTTTAAAAAAAGAGAAAAAGCAGCTTTGCAGAAATCTGATCTGTAATGTGCCATTAAAAGTTAAATTCATTTTAGTAATTACAAGAAGAAAATAATACAGTATTCATCATTGTTCTTATCTGAGATGTAGGAACTGACATCTATGGCTATAATAGTACAAGCCACAGAGTATAATATGAAAAGGCACCCTATAATTCTGCTGAATTTAAGGTTGTATAATATCCCCCTATCAGATATAAATGATATTTTCATCAATCTATGACACCACTTTTTCTTCTTTCTTGTACTAGAGTTTGAGCTAAGATGTATAAATCCTCCATTTACAGAACTTGCAACTGGTAAATAAAAAGAAAAGAGAAAGAGCATTAGCTTATCTCCTTGAAATTAAAAAAAAAATACCAGCTTCCATATCATATGAATACAGAATCTAATAGTTTTTTTTTTTCAGTTTTACAGAATTGTAGAGTAGGAGGGCTACTGAAGCCACTAAAACCAACTCCCTACTTAGCTCAGGAATCCAAATTTAACCATCTCCAACAGATGCCTGTCCCACTTCTTATATATATATATGTAACTAGAGAAAGGGGAACTTATCACTCTCTTTGCACCTGAGGAGAAGAGTTGTTTTGTTTTTAACCTTGTTTTTAATTGCTGGATGTGAGCTGCTCAAAATAATTCCATGAAATGGGTGGCCGTGTAAGTTCTTAATAAAAAAAATAAGGTAAGGTAAGGTAAGGTAAGGAGGAGAGGAGAGGAGAGGGGAGGGGAGGGGAGGGGAGGGGAAGGGAAGGGAAGGGAAGGGAGAAGAGAAGAGAAGAGAAGAGAAGAGAAGAGAAGAGAAGAGAAGAGAAGAAGAGAAGAGAAGAGAAGAGAAGAGAAGAGAAGAGAAGAGAGAGAAGAAGAGAAGAGAGTAAAAATTATATAAACTGCTCTTACTTTTAGGAAGTTTTTCCTACCATTAAATGCCATCCTCGAACTTAAAATCTCCTGTGGTCTGTGATGGCAATAAATGTGATCTGACTATCCATCTGGTCCTGCTGCTGATTCTTGAATTATGCAATTATCTCTACCCCAGACATCTTTTCTCGTGGCTAAACAGATCTAATGTATTCTTACTGGTTATGCCAATCAGGCTGAAAGTTTGTTTACTCTTTCCTTTCTGTTTTAAAATTGCCATTTTACCTTTTGCACAGATTTCAAGGTGATGAATATTTAACAAAACATTATCAAGTCTAAAATAATAACCGTTAAGAAATGGCGTAAGACTAATAAACAAACAACAAACCAAAAATAGTACACTGATTCCCAAAGATAAGAAACATATATCCTAAGAACAAGCAGCTAAATTCAGCTGGAAGGCTCAGATGAACAGAATTGTTGTGGCTCCGTTGCCTGAGCCTGGGCTATCGACAGATGCAGACTCTGAGAGTGAGGGGGAGGAGTTGGCAAGGCCTCCCTCTCCAGGACCCTCCTCTCTGGCAATGCCTCTGGAGGACACCGAAGGCCAAACGATAGGCTCAGAGCCAAGCATGTCCCTGCAGCCACAGGTGGACAGTGACGAGGAAAATAAGTGCTGGCTGGACCCTCGCCAGAGGCGCAGGGAGAAGTGTGCACAGCAGAGGGGAAGGCGTGCCAGAGATTAGCTGAGTCACTGGACCACACCCCACAGGCTATAAAAGGGAGTGTGGTGGCCATTCGGACTCTGTGACGGACAAAGCTAATCTCTGGCGAGGCACTTTACACCTTCGGACACAACACCTATTTGCTGTGGATTTAATTACAAACTGGACTATTCAAACTGTGTGTATTTTTGTCTGTGTTATCGGAGTAAAAGTTTTGGCAGGCAGCCACGGAGTTGCTGCCAAGTTCCTTATCACTGACGTTGAGTGTTTGAAGAGTTTATTTAACTCTCGGCTGGCTGGTTGGGTGTGTGTGTGGTACGAGGACAGAACAAAAATATGTATGCATGTATGTATGTACTGTGTAATATGTATGTGATTTCTATTTGATTTTGTAATCATATGACATGGAAGCTGGTATTGTTTTTTATTTTAAGGAGATATGTCATGATTTGGATACCACCACAGAGAAGGAGTTCTCTTCTCTAGCCATGTATCTCGAGTTATAAATTGGAGATAATCTTGGAAAGTTATTTTTAGAGCATTTCAAACTGCCTCAAGTTTTAAGAAGCAAAGGTTTAATTGATTTAAGAAGCAAAGATTTAATTAATTTAGAAATTTAAAAGACAGTCTGACTGCATTTGTATTTCTGCATTTGAAATGCAGTTATTATTTTATGTTCATGCTGAGGGTAGTTGGTTTAAACATCAAAAATACACTATGAAATTATGAAAGGTAGAAACCATGCAATCAGAATGGACAAAAACTAGTGGTAAAAGTGCATTATTATAACAGAGCTAAGATGACCTTGTATCTGCTCGGTGTTATGAATTAAAAGAGCAGTTTTAAGATAATGGATTCAGAAGAAGTAGATGGGAGTCTGAAAGCCGCTACAGAAGATCATAATAAATATCATGTTAATGTAAATACATATTAATGTTCAATAGTTAATACTGAAGTTAATAAATATTAACACATAAATGCTAATAAACATTAAATATTATGGGAAGCAATCCTGTTTCCTCTAGACAGTGTGGATTACAACTCCTGTATGAATGAGCATTAAGGTGAGAGCCAGGGGTTTTCACACTAGAAAAGGCAATTATGTAAATATTCAAGAATGATTCAGCTTTAGGTTCACCAAGCATCCAATGAACTGTGAGAAAAGCAAGAAGAAAAAGAAATGGATTTTAACCACTGAGTATAAGAGGGAGTCTGCATCCTTATGCTGGCAATGGGCAATCAGTTCTTTCATTTGGTTTCATTCTGATTTGCCATAAAGATTCTTATCTAGCCTAGCCACATCTATGAGACTTTTGCCAAGGTCCTAACATAGGAAGTAAGCTGAGTATGGTCAAGATGTCTGTGGAATAGTAAATTCTGGAATGGACAGTAGCCTTTGTTTAATGGCCACTCATTCAGCAAAGTTCAAGCTTACAACAACATTGAATTAATGGTTGTCACGATTAGTTCTCATACACACTGCTATTACAGAGTCCCTGCAATCAGAATAATAGAATAACAGAGTTGGAAGGAACCTTGGAGATCTTCTAGTCCATGGGCGTCAAACTCTGCATCATGTTGCTGTCATGTGATGTTTTGTGACATTTTTCCCATTTGTGGAGCTGGAGTAGGCATGGCCTGCGTGTGATGCATATGGCTTGCAGGCCGCCAGTTTGACACCCCTGTTCTAGTCCAACCCCCTGCTCAGGCAGAAAGCTCTATATCATTTCAGACAAATTATTGTCCAATCTCTTCTTTAAAACTTCCAGTGTTGGAGCATTCACAACTTCTGCAGGCAAGTTGTTCCCCTGATTAATTGTTCTAACTGTCAGGAAATTTCTTAGTTCTAGATTGCTTCTCTCCTTGATCACATTACTGTGATCTAGGTGCTTGGTGCCTGAATCACAATTACGATGTCTCATTATCCTACGGTCACGTGATTGTAATTTATAATCTTCCCTGCCAACTTCTGATAAACAAAGTCAGTGGAGAAGGTGGCAGCAAGTCACATGTAGTAGCTAAATGAAGTCCTCCCTTAACAACCCATACAGTGCTTCTTTAACAACGGGCAATCGAGACTGCTGGAATTAAGAGGCACAGACATGTGGGTTTATTTTTATTTATGACTTTGTCTCTTAACAGTGGAGTTTTGTGTCTCAATTAGCATAGTTAAGTGAGGATTACTTGTAAGATATTACTCTGTGATGTACTACTGAGATATTCAGTTAGTTGGACAACATGTCTTAGGTTATAGATGCAGGTGTTGTAACTGAAAAGTATGTGAAAGATATCAAGTTTCTTTGATCATTTCATCTCTACGGTTTGTAGACCCATTCATCCTAACAAAAGCATAGACAAAAACGTCAGTGGTTTTGAGTGTTGATTCATAGGTATATGAATTAAATAAGCTTTCCTATATTCAAAGTAGATTATCTTCAGAAAGTGAGCACAGCATGGCAGCCTAAGAGACCAAATAATATTATTATTTGGTCCCAATATTAACTCCCTTTTAAAAAAAATTCAATAATGTTGTTTCCACACTCATCCTTTTATTTGGAATTGCCATTCTTTGTTCACTCAGTTATTTTTATAGGGAAACTATACAATATTCTTGGTAAATGGTTACATTCTAATGTTTTCTGTATTCCTCCTCTGATAGTGTCTCAGACAATTATTATTCTAAGAAAACACAATCACACTCATTAACCTAGCAAAGACAGACCATATGCTCTTAAAGGACACAGTTTCTTTCAGATGAAAGTTTTCAGTTTCTGGTTAGTCAACTTTATTATTTCTGTGTTCAAGACTGCTGGAAATTAATACTGAATCAGACTTTAATTGCTTCCTATTTCATCTGTGACTGTCACCCATGAAGAAAAGAGCCTCAAATTACTCATTTTTCTC